CACACGATTAGTGCCATGAGTTAGTGAAGCAAATTACAGAACATTGCACACTTATTCACAAGTCAAAACGTGTTCATAGCGGGCATGGATGAGAATAGCTAGCTAGCTAGATGTTATTAGCCTGCTTGGACCTAACGTTAGCAAGTTCTACCATGGCTAGCTCGATCTACTGAGCAAATAAAAGTACATCTAAGACCAGTATTGTGCAGATTAAAACAGTGCAGTGCATGTATTTTATTTTACCTTGGTAGTCGTCCCGACATGACTTTGCCAGGTCTGCTAACTTTGCAGAGCCACAGAAACTGCATTCAGTCGAAGCTTCTGAATGTGGCGCTTCGCGTCCTCCGAGTCAATCGCCAGAAGCGCAGACACATCCTCATCACTCCACCGCTCCAATTGATTGATTTAGTGTTCTGATGAACTATTGTGGGAAAAGTACACCAAAGTACTCCGGTGTGAACGCACCTAATGACTGTGGTGATAAGATGAGTGGGTTGGGGGAGGCAGGCCTTGACAAGGGTGGAGGGCATGGGGTCCAGGATGGAAGTTGAGGTATTCATGCCGGTGACTTGGGCAACTATAGGTGCGTTCACACCGGTGTACTTTTCCCACAATAGTTCATCAGAACTACGATATATTTGCGTTCACACCAAAAAGCCCCAGGAACTAAAGTAGCTCAATTGAGTTCGTCCGAACCGCTTTTCAGTCCCTGCTCTCTAGCAGGGACTGTTGTGGGAGAAAGTAGTTCGTACGTCTGATTGGCTGTGCGGAATGCAAACCACGCCCGTTTGACTCTGAATTTTTTTTTGGAAGCGGCCATTGTATTTGCTCGTCTACCCGAAGAGATTCCTTTTGTGAAAGCAGTTATTATAGCAACACTAAAAAATCAATTGGAGCGGTGGGAGTGATGAGGATGTGTCTGCGCTTCTGGCGATTTACTCGGAGGACGCGAAGCGCCGCATTCAGAAGCTTCTACTGAATGCAGTTTCTGTAGCTCTGCAAAGTTAGCAGACCTGGCAAAGTCATGTCGGGACGACTACCAAGGTAAAATAAAATACATGCACTGCACTGTTTTAATCTGCACAATACTGGTCTTATATGTACTTTTATTTGCTCAGTAGATCGAGCTAGCCATGCTAGAACTTGCTAACGTTAGGTCCAAGCTGGCTATCAACATCTAGCTAGCTAGCTATTCTCATCCATGCCCGCTATGAACACGTTTTGACTTGTGAATAAGTGTGCAATGTTCTGTAATTTGCTTCACTAACTCATGGCACTAATCGTGTGTTTCAGGCGAGGTGTTTCTCTCAGGATTAGAAACTAGTTTTCCCCTCCGGGATAAAACGATAATATAACGTTAGCAATTAGCATGCTAGCTGGACATAATGCTACGTCTAACATGGTAGTTGCTATAATTTCAAGTAATTTGCAACATTCATTCTACATGTTAATGGTAAAAGCTTAAACAGTTGATTACCTGCATGCCACAAAGACTGATGTTCTAATATTTTTGCACATTTAAGTAGAAATGTAATTGAAATTCTATTTATTTTTCCTTTTTTTTATTGATTGTTATAATTGTACTCAGCCATGTTATGTTAGATGTCAATCTACTTACACTGTAACTACTCTGGCCTTGAAAGAAGAAGAAGGTGATATAACTATTAATAAGTAAAAGTAAATCGAAATATGTATTGCATCACCGCTGCTTAGAGTTCATGCACAAGTCATTTGCTTGATAATGAATTGATGCATTGTAGCAATAATTGTAGTCAATATCAAAGAGAGATGTAATTTCGATATTTCAGTCCAAGCTTGATTGGCCCAGCTACCTCAGTATATGTGATGTATAAATAAAAGGATTACATGACAACGGTTTGATCTTCTATCTCAGAGTAAACTGGACTATTAATCAACATTTTGCCTCGTTGTTGCGATTAAACTGATCTTGTATCTTGCATATTTCACCTTAGGAAAGTGGGCACGCGATGACAGCTTCCTTGACACCATCATGGCGATGGACCGCCGTGCCATGGTCAGCAAGGAGAATGAGGACCTGCGTGCCAAGGAGATGCACGACGAACGGCTGCTGCATTCACACAAGGCCCAGGAATCGAGGTGGAGCAACAAAATACCTTTCTGGCTGGGCTTCTGGCAGTGCTAAGCGAGCTGATTAAATCCAACAGGCCTTCAATACAAAATTAAGAAAACTTGTCGTTACCTACCTATTGTTATTATATATATATATATATATATATATATATATATATTGCCACTGTTATTATATTGTTTTGATACTACTGACACTTATTGATCTGCTGCTGATAAATAAAAGAGAACCTACATGCACGGCACTAGCATCATGACTGTCTTTGTTTAAACCAGCAGCAGTGCAGCGGTACACAGACTAACCTGTGTGTGTGTAACGTAGTTCTTCAGAGGCCTGTACTACGAAGCTGGTTCAACTTAACCTGGATATGTTGGAGTTAGCCGGTTGGCGTAATCCAAAACATACGCGCTGGTGCTAAACTGTACTACGACGCTGGATATCAAGTGGATCGCTCAAGCCAGCCGTGTCCTATCTAGTTAGGTGCGCGTTCACATGAAAGGGGTGGTATTTGGAGCATTCGACCAATCTCAAACACGGAGAAGCGTACTGACAGCGCAGCGTCATACTTCCTGAATGAAAAGTGAACTTTAATATTAGTCAAATATGAGGAAGTTAAACTTTAAACATCCATGACTTAAACACTTTACCCAGGATAAAAGCCACATAGCTGCACCTGCAAGGTGAATACAGCTGGTAAAAGAAAAAGTGTTTGAATGCGTACATTAACAGGTTTATGAATCACTGCCCCGTCCAAGACACGAGTGGATCTGACTTTAATTAGGAGAATTTGACTCGAGTGTTTCGTCAATTTAATGTGTTGCTTAAAATAATACTTCTGCATACAGTATGTGACACTGTGAGTGTTGCACGGCCAGATACGGCTCAAGAAGCTGACTCAAATAAGGAAATATATGATACATTATGATGTGATATGATATGAATGATAATGGGACACATCTACGTCTGCACTCACAGTGCCGCGGACTGTACTTAATGTTACTCTGATCCGGTTACTTATGTCGTGGCAGATATTTAAGTAAGCTTTCTTAACGCTAATGTTATAATAGTCAGATTGCTCTGAAGATGGGAGGGGATATTCTATTAATTTTCACGTTCACACAGTCAGTTGATTTTGGCCGGTCGTCTTTCCTGCAACGGCAGTTTAAACTGTATTTCCTTTCTCCTCCTGTCATATGAATTGATCGCTTTAAACTCCGCACACGGAGCTCTGATTGGTCAGCAGGCAGTGCTTTCACTGAGTTGATCTCTTAGCCTGCCACCTAACCTGCTCCGGAGCAGGTTTGCCGCTCAGCATAAGTTACCATGGAAATCTAGCCTGCTAAAAAGAGAACCAGCGTCGTAGGACCGGAAAGCCCGAGTTTTCCCTGAATTTAGCCGGCTAAGCGAAAATCCAGCTTCGTAGTACAGGCCTCTGGTGTGCATGCTTAACATGTATGTTAACATGTATGTATACAAAAGTTTTTAAAGAGCTTTCAACCTCATCCCATTGTCTTTAACACACATTTAACATAATATACTCATTAATATACAAATATACAGTATGAGTACTGTTTTGATACTGACATTTAATCTTTGCACTAAGGTGTGTCTGCACTATTGTAATTGTGTCTGTTGACTGGTAAATAAAAGAGAACCAAATGCACTACAAAATATCAGCTTTATTGTCAATTTACAATTTCCATGCTGTTCAGATGCCTCTCCACAACGTTGCTTCCAGGCGAATACAGAGGAGTTGAAAAGAGCCCTTGGACATTCAAAAATCTTCGATCCACTGCACACGTTGGCACCACCTCCCACCAGGCCGACGTTCTATTGTTCACCCAGAGTTCCGTAGTATTCGCATATCTGGAACACATACAAAGACACAAATTAGCCCTACATAACTCCATAAATCCTACATTAGATAGTATTAATGTGATTTAATGAACGTACCATTGCTGTTCTTTGGGCGTGATAACGGCCATCATGCTCGGCTGTACAACGGCGAAACATGTCCATCGCGTGTGATTTCGTCGTCTAATCCTTTTGTTAAGGCTTCTTAACCGCCTTCGCCTCCGACTCAGCATTTCTATTGCATTTGAATGGTCGATCTGTATTTGTATTTGTGGCTGAGTTATTGGCTTAAATAACTCCGTTACGAAGCTGTATAACACGACCACCAAAACGTCAACTCCATACCGTGTCTGAGGTCGGAAGGTAAACAGAAGCATACAGCGGAAGCGGAAGTTTTTTTTCTTCTTCTCTCGGTTTTTTGGCGAATTGCAACTTTAAGGTGCATACCGCCACCTACTGTACTCGCCGTGAAGTTGTTTGCGGCCTGCCAGGAAAACCAAAGCAGAAGAAGAAGAAGTGACGTCAGCGGCTCATTTGCCTAATCCACCCCCAGGAACTCATTTTGGTGTGAACGCGATCTGCTTTAGTTCGTCAGAACTAAAAGAACTCTCATGAACTAAAGTTCTCATGAACTACTGTGGGAAAAGTACTTGGTGTGAACGCGCCTTATGTCCAGTGAGGTAATTTGTCTGAAGGCTGTAAAAGGGTGCCTGGAAGGAGTAGGGTAGGCAGGTTCCGGAAAAGCATGGGTGGTGGACGAGACGGAGGAGTTGGCTGTGTTGCTGTGTATTATTTCAATTTTGCTTTGGAGGAATGAGAGGAAGGATTCACACTTTGAGGTGGTGAAGGAGTTGGAGATATTATCCATGGGGTTGAGGAGCTTGTTAATAGTTGAAAAAAGGGACTTTGGGTTATTGCTGCCAGATTGTATTACAGAAGAGTAGTGGGAGGAGCGTGCACTGTTGAGGGCATCTTTGTACTGCTGTTGGTGCAGTCTATAAATGTCTTTGTGGATAGTGAGACCAGTTCATTTAGCATGTCTTTCGAGCTGGCGACCTTTCCTTTTGAGGCAACGGAGATGATCGGTGTACCAGGGGGCCGAGTGAGTGAAAGAGACATACTTGGTTTTATTGGAGCGAGTTGGTTGAGACAGGAGGAGAGAGCATTGTTGTAGGTGTTGACCAGGTCAGTAGGGGAAACATTCTGGGTGACGGTGGAGTCAGGGATGGTGTCAGCCAGTAGGGAGACAGCTAAGAAACTGTTCGTGAAAAAAACATTTTTTCCCACCGTAGCTGTGTTGTGCAGAGACGAGGGTGTCCAATGTTAGTGGCCAGCTGACGGCAGGGAGTTGGCGAGATTGTTGACGGCCAACGGCTGGAGGCTGGTAGCAAACGGGCTAGCAGGATAGGGTCCGGTACGCAGGAAAAAGCAAATAGGTAACGGAGAACTACTTGAACAAAGTAGCGATTAGGGTTGGGAACCGAAACTCGTTTCCAGATGAGAACCGATAAGAAAATGCCGGGTACCGGGTAACCATACAAAATACACAATTTTGGTTCTGCTTAACGGTTCCTAAACGCGGTAGACCCTGTATTCCACCGGGTCCGTCTGCGCCGCGGTGACCCGGTGGAATTCAGCGGCGGACTGGCCATCAGTGTGTTCTGGAGAATCACAGAATGGCCGGTCGTCAGCGACAGAGGTCCACAGTTGCCCCGCAGCGAGGCTCCCCCCGCCCTCCCGTAGACAGTTCATGTGCTCAGTCACTTCATAACACCAAAGATGGATCGCGGTAAACGCTCTAAGTGAGGCTCCACTACACTAAAAAAGAAAAAGACAAGGCACAGTGTAATGCCTGTTAATAGCTTGCCACAGGCATAGCTCAGTTAAAATAAAGCACAGCTATTGTGCAATACATTTGTATTGAATGCCAATTTCAGTAGATTTAATCAAACAAAACATAAACATATTGGACATGGCCTGAAAACTGTAACCTCTTCACATTTGGTTGAAATTAGGGCTGTCAGTAGATTAAAATATTTAATCGCGATTAATCGCACATTTTGTATCTGTTCTAAATGTACCTTAGAGGGATATTTTTCAAGTTTTTAATACTCTTATCAACATATGAGTGGACAAATATGCTTTATGCAAATGTTTGTTTATTATCATTGGAACAATGACAAATATTCTCCTGAATATTCTCAACACAACAACCTCTGAACAATGACAAATGTTCTCCTGAATATTTTCAATCCAACCACCTGGAACCTCTCTCTCTTACACTCTCTCCCAACCCTGTCTACTTCTCTGCAGTGCACTCTGCCAGTTGCTCAAACAGACAAGCCTGTTTACAGTTGTCGGCGAAATGCCGCTCCTCTGTCTTCATCTTCAGTTAAAGCATGAGACTTTCGCACTGTGGGTCAAAATAATGCGCTGTGATGTGCAGTCGACACGTTGGATGCGATCCGAATTATCTAACGCAGCCCCTCGTCCTCCACAATGTTAAGCTGTAGCCACCTATTTAGCTATCGCTGTTAAAAGCTTGCTGCTCGTAGAAGTGTCCATGCGTCTCCCCGACAAATTTTCAAGCGTCGTCTGCCGCAAGCAAGCGGCAGGAGCGGTGCTGTCAGCAAGGGCGCGGAATGCCGCGGAACACTGTACAAATCCCGTTTCAATAATTCCCCTCTACTCTAAAGTTGCATCTAAAACGCGATCTGATCTAGCTGTGTATTTTTTGTTATTTTTTATTGTTATATTCAATCTCATTAGCTACAGGCATTTTTGAAGCTTGTAAAGGGAAGATGACAGCTCTCACTCGCCACTCTGCTGTTCCACAGCACCGCTTCCCCTCCCTCTGCTGAAATTATGAATGTAAGGCGTATAGTAATCATATAACACGGCAGGGCCCGTTACAGTTTGTTTGAATCTGATTTCAAATAAACAAAGTCTTGGCTTTCAGAATATTAAACTTGTTTCGGCAAATTCAGATGATAAATACAACTTTGAAAGCTTGTAACGGCATAATTACAAGTGGAGACCGGAGTAACGTAACGTCACAGCAGGCATAACAACAGCCGGTGTTTCTCGTGAGTGTTTTCCCCGGGAAACAAACACAATACACACACAAACGCAAAAATACACAAACACACACACACTCGCGGGCTTCCCCCAGACCAGTAATCCAAACGAAAATATCTTCCCTCCGTTTCTACTTTGATCATTTGCTCCGCTTCCAGAGATAAGGGAATGCTCTGGTTTTTGGACAAAATTAACATGGGATCAATCCCGTCACCGGACGTATTTCGTCTCACTGGAATATTAACGGTCATAGTGAATATAAAATCGTCCCCATGTATCCGGCCAATGACGGGAGAGTTTTGAAAGAGACAAAACACTGTTCCATACATTTAAAAACACTTAAATAATTAAACAATGTTTACCCCAGGATTCAGGCACCTTCCCTGGCTTGTAAAGTGCAGTTATGCGCCCTGGAGGTATTGCACTATTTACAAAATGTATACCCAGGATTCAGGCACCTTCCCTGGCTTGTAAAGTGCAGTTATGCGCCCTGGAGGTATTGCACTATTTACAAAATGTATACCCAGGATTCAGGCACCTTCCCTGGCTTGTAAAGTGCAGTTATGCGCCCTGGAGGTATTGCACTATTTACAAAATGTATACCCAGGATTCAGGCACCTTCCCTGGCTTGTAAAGTGCAGTTATGCGCCATGGAGGTATTCTGATATTTACAAAATGTAGCACTCTGTTTATTTCACACTTCAGCACCACGGACAGCGCCGGACAGCGCTTGAAGGGAAGTGGGATGTTTAGGAAGTCATGCTGCTACCCTATATTAGCACACAGATCCCTCTCCGCATGTAATATGCAGCCACCGGCTGTGTATGTAATAGGGGGACGCATCGGGGGTCTCGGGGGGGTTCCCCAGGTCCGGTAAACAAGAGGTCTGGGGACTTAGATTATTTCACACTTCCAGGAGAGACAACAGGAAAATCACCTCTATTTGCCCGCTCACAGAGCCCCGAAGGACGGACTAGAGACCTCCAGCAGCAGTCCCTAACAGTGGGACTCTGTTTCTTTCACAGCTCCAGCAGAGACCAGGGGAAAATCACTTCTATTTGCCCGCTCACAGAGCCCCGAAGGACGGACTAGAGACCTCCAGCAGCAGTCCCTAACAGTGAGACTCTGTGTATTTCACACCTCCAGGAGAGACCAGGGGAAAATCACCTCTCTTTGCCCGCTCACAGAGCCACGAAGGACGGACTAGAGACCTCCAGCAGCAGTCCCTAACAGTGGGACTCTGGTTATTTCACACCTCCAGGAGAGACCAGGGGGAAATCACCTCTCTCTGCCCGCTCACAGACCCCCAAAGTACGGACTAGAGACCTCCAGCATGGCCCCTTAACAGTGGGACTCTGGTTATTTCACAGCTCCAGGAGAGACCAGGGGAAAATCACCTCTCTTTGCCCGCTCACAGACCCCCAAACGACGGACTAATGACCTTCAGCACCCCGGAGAGCTCCATTGTGAAATATTGCTACTAATCCATAACTTTTGATAACAAGCTCTGTTCGGTTCAGGCTTTTTCTCTTACCCCCCATTTACACGTACCCCGCATCCAACGGTACCATCGCCGAATCTCTAGGACCTCTGGGAGCGGAGTTACGGCAGAGGGTCAGATTCTGAAAATACGATTTGAGAACAGGGCTCTGATCAGGGCTAAAGTAATGTTATAAACTGGTGAAATCTGTTTAAATGCAGGCAGCAGACTCACTGCTTTTAGCAGGGTCTCAGAGAGCCAGAGAGCCAGGGTACAGCACATCGCTGTCTTACCCATAAAACAGGGCTCTGATCAGGGCTAAAGTAATGTTATAAACTGGTGAATCTGTTTAAATGCAGGCAGCAGACTCACTGCTTTTAGCAGGGTCTCAGAGAGCCAGAGAGCCAGGGTACAGCACATCGCTGTCTTACCCATAAAACAGGGCTCTGATCAGGGCTAAAGTAATGTTATAAACTGGTGAATCTGTTTAAATGCAGGCAGCAGACTCACTGCTTTTAGCAGGGTCTCAGAGAGCCAGAGAGCCAGGGTACAGCACATCGCTGTCTTACCCATAAAACAGGGCTCTGATCAGGGCTAAAGTAACGTTATAAACTGGTGAATCTGTTTAAATGCAGGCAGCATACTCACTGCTTTTAGCAGGGTCTCAGAGAGCCAGAGAGCCAGGGTACAGCACATCGCTGTCTTACCCATAAAACAGGGCTCTGATCAGGGCTAAAGTAATGTTATAAACTGGTGAATCTGTTTAAATGCAGGCAGCAGACTCACTGCTTTTAGCAGGGTCTCAGAGAGCCAGAGAGCCAGGGTACAGCACATCGCTGTCTTACCCATAAAACAGGGCTCTGATCAGGGCTAAAGTAATGTTATAAATTGGTGAATCTGTTTAAATGCAGGAGACCTCCAGCAGCAGTCCCTAACAGTGGGACTCTGGTTATTTCACACCTCCAGGGCGGAGACCGGGAAATGTACCTCTCTTTGCCCGCTCACAGAGCCCCGAAGGATGGACTAGAGACCTCCAGCAGCAGTCCCTAACAGTGGGACTCAGTTTATTTCACACCTCCAGGAGAGACCAGGGGGAAATCCACCTATCTTTGCCCGCTCACAGAGCCCCGAAGGACGGACTAGAGACCTCCAGCAGCAGTCCCTAACAGTGGCACCTCCATAACCTTGCACACCGTGAGTCCCCGGGCCCCCACAGTTAAGCACTCCCCCACGGACTAAACACAGGTATTCACACCCACCAGAACCTCGTGCCCCTGGTGACCCTACAAGGGGGGTGGTTTTATTGGTGCTTCTATGTCCGCCCATCAGCATCCATATTCGTCCTTCTTCACGGCACCACCCCCCCTTCTGTGGAGGGTATTCTCGTGCCCCTGGAGACCCTACAAGGGCGGTGGTTTTTATGGTGCTTCTATGTCTGTCCATCAGCATTCATATTCGTCCTTCTTCACGGTATCACCCCCCCTTCTGTGGAGGGTATTCTCGTGCCCCTGGTGACCCTAAAGGGGGTGGATTTTGTTGTGCTT